CTCTCTCTCTCTCTCTTCCTCAATATCTCTTATCTAAATGTGTATGTGTGCATGTGTACACACATGTAACTAACTCCTTCGATACAAAACAAACTGTTACATATATTTTTATGACGTGTATGTATGTGCGTGTTTGTACATAATTATGTTTTGATGCTTTAAAAATTAGTAATATGGAAAGCCTTTCAAATCTGAAACATTTTCCATGCTATATATTAAAAACTCTCTAATCGTAATTATCACTTTAAAAGTCTGTGAAAAAGATGTGGTTAAATCGTTTCATGTAACTTGTTTTGAAAAAGTGAACTAAAATACTTCAAGAATCGTAGCCAAGCATCTGCAGTTTCTTTCTATGTTAAAAAGAACCACACTGTGACTGTACTTGGTAGATTTCTGGCAAAGTACCAGCCTTCAGATATGAAAACTGTGAATAGGAAAGAAACTGCTAAATCGTTCATGAACATACCATATGGTATATTGGTTTTAAAAGGAATATATATGCATAAATTTTAAAAGGGGAAAATACAATTTGGGACTTAAGAAGTATGAAATAGGCAGTATACGGTGCAGTAGATTTTTATTCTGTGGTGTATAATAGAAAAGATCAAAAATACAAAAAATAAAACTAATTTCCTAGTTTGCTTCAAACAAAATATATATGACTTGAAACAACCATCGTCAAATAGGTAAGTCGTATCTTTAAAAAAAAACTACATGCCGTCTATTTTAGTGTAAATCATGGCATACTGTGGCCTATCTGTATTATTCTTTGCTCATATCCAATGAAAAGCATGTGGCTAATGATTATCTGTAGGCAACTATTCATGAATCTGTGTGACATATCTAGAAGGTGGAGTCCTAGGTGTTCTCTGAGCTTGATTGTTTGCTTATAGACATTTCATTACTTGATTAGGTATCGTCAGTGCTAGTGAATGTGGAGTTTGGTCCCTGTTCAGTAGCTTCTCCTGCCAGTATTGGTGAAATGTGGTTTTCTCCTTGGTATCCTAGTCAAGAAACACTACAAGCAAAGAATCAGGTTCAGAGAGCACTAGGGTTTCCACAATTCAACCCTCAGCTACATATATTATCTTCTATTAGATATCCAGATGGCTTACATTCTTCTCAAAAAGAAAATTATCTTTCTCCTACTTAAAAAATCAGATTTTTCTGAAATTGGCTACATTACATTATCCAATAAAGTTGTATAAGATTCAAAGCGTTGGAAAAAGAGATATAAATGAAAGGGGAAAACAATCTTTTACAACCACACTTATTTCTTTCTTGTAATTCCTACGTTCGCTTTGCAGACCTGATAATTTTTGAGTGAACAGTGTAAGATAACCACTATCCTTATTTCTTCTACTTCATAGATTCATACATCCTTAATCAATGGACGACCAAGTGCAGATGATCCTTCTCCAACACTATTAGAGTTTACATCAGCTCGTTATATTCGCTTAAGATTTCAGAGGATACGGACCCTAAATGCGGATTTAATGATGCTTGCACACAGAGATCTCAATGAAATTGATCCAATAGTCACAAGGAGGGTAAGTCCTGGCAAAGATGCTAGAATGTGTGTTTGTAATACTTTTTTTTAATGCTTAATATCCAAAAGGATTTTGTTATTTCAAAATTATAAAACATCAGTTTTTGTTCTTTCTGAAATAGAAATTTCTCTTTGATATGCTCATTTAAAGAAAACTAGCAGGATGAGTGTATATAAATTTTTTGAAGCTGAAGTATATTTTCGGAGGGTTTTTTTTTCATTTTTCCCTTCTTATTTGCATTGAAAAGCCAAGAACAGGGATAGTGATGAACAATTCATTCTGATAATCTATTCCAGTGATGGCAAACCTTTTAGAGACCGAGTGCCCAAACTGCAACCCAAAACCCACTTATATATCATCGGGTGCCAGGTGGGTATGGCCAATTGGGTGGGCGTGGCCAATTGGGTTGGCGTGGCTACGGTGGTAATGGCAGACTGGGTGGGACTAAAAAGTTCAATCAATCAATTCCAACTTTGCGAGGTCTTTTTTTTCCCGCGAGAAGTTGAAATTGATTGATTGATTGAACCTTTTTTTTTTTTTGCACACAGAGGCGGAGACCTAAAGTGAAAAGGTTTTATACAACTCAGCTGAAGGCCTAGGACTGGGGCAATAGTGCGTATGCCCACGGAGAGGGCTCTGTGTGCCACCTGTGGCACGCGTGCCATAGGTTCGCCACCATGGATCTATTCCATTCTATTCCAGACCATATAGCACCACTCTTTATAAACTATTGTAATTGCAGAGATACCTTATAAATCTCTGCACCCAATGTGTCACCCTGATGATACATCATTAGGATTGGGACTTGTCTGAAGAAAACAATGTTGAAGGAGAAGAGGAACGTTGCGGTTCTCCTCCATGGTTAACACGTAGGTGCTTGCTTGTAGGTAGCTTGAGAATACAGTTGGTGATATATTTTCTACAGTAGAATTTCCTTGTTGATATACATTTTGTAGAAAATTATCTACTCTTGAAGATCAGAAGGTACAACTGATCCAGTGCATTGCTTCATGAGTAGTTATAGAAGCTTCTTGCTTTGTCCATGTAACACTATTTTGTATGCTACATTGGTTACTGATGAGCCTCTGGGTACAATTTAAGATGTTGGTTGCGACCTCTAAAGCTCTACAAGACTAAGGTCTGGTTACCTACGGGACAATCTTTCTTCTGTTGGTTCTGCCCAATCTTTAAGATCTGGAAAAATTCTTGTGCTCCAGGTCACAGTTGTAAAGCGTTGTCCCTTTATCACAAGTGACATAAAACAGTACTTTTATACAATGTTTCAAAAATAACTTCTTTTCCCTTCTTCTTTTGCTAAGATTGGCATATCTTAATGATAGCAAATATTTGAAGGGCTGTCTTGAATGCCTTTAATGGAAAGCCAGAGGAATTTAGCCAGGCAATTTAGAAAGCAGTAATAATTGCTTCGAATGGCCCTTCCTAGAAATATGGCTGTATGAATGAACTGGAGGTCATGAATGCTCTATTCTCAGGTCATCTAAATATATGCATTATTGATCCCCAATGACCATTTTTACTGTAAAGGATCATAAAGCGTGACTCTTGTGGAAGAAAATGATGCAAGAAATGCATGTAAATATTTTAATAGCCACAGAAAGTTTTATATTAGCCAATGGATTAGTGAAATTTAATGAAACAACTAAAGGCAGAGTTGTAAAGTTTCACTTTTAAACATACACTATTAAGTAAACTTGCCTCTATAGAGATGATGTGGATTCTGGATGTCCATTCTATATAAAGAAGATTCCTTCACATCAGCCACAGAGTGAGAATTTTCAGGAAAGAGGAGATATTTACTGATTTTTTATCTTCTTTCTGAAACTCACGGAATCATCTCCAATGTCCTCACTCACTGAGTCCATTTTCAACATAAAACCCTATAAAGGAAAAAGAGTTGGGGGGGGGAATTCTCCCTTGCCCACAGTATTTCAACATAATTAATGTCAGCATGCTCTTGTTTGGGATTTAGAAAAATCTATATAGGAATGCAAAGGAGTACAGTTCATTTATCCAAAACCTAGAACTTTATTATCGAATTATTGTTCATGGTAATCAAATACTGGGCAGTGTAAATCTACTTCTTGACTTCTGTGAAAATGAAGCACACATTTACTCCCACCTTTTAAAAAGCTCTTGATTAGGTACCAAAATGATAACTCTCTTGTATTCAGTTTGCAACATAATAATAGCATATATCTTTCTTTTTAATTTTCTTTTCAGTATTATTATTCTGTGAAAGACATCTCAGTGGGAGGAATGTGCATCTGTTTTGGCCATGCAAAATCATGTCCATTGAATCCAGCCACAAATGTATGTATTTTCCAACACTGTTCTAATATGAAAAGGGATATACAATATACATGTGTACAATCTTCTTTTGTCTTGATGATAGAACTTCTCAAGGGCAATGTTCTCAAAGTCATGGTTGAGATAACTGTTACTTTTCAGGCATATCAAATTTTGAAAAAATGCTCACTTTTCAGCATCTTACTTGAAAATAAGCTTTATTAAGTTTAACAGTAAATGTGCAAAGCATATAATAAATGTGTAAAGGACTGAAACCTTACCATGAATTCCATTAATTCTGTCTACTAAGCATATGATTTTTAGTAATTCCCTTTCCCGTACAACTATTCCAAGTGTCTCATCCGGCCTCTGAAATCTGGAGAAGAGGTGGGCGAAATTATAAAAAGTCATGCTATTCTCAAGTTAATTGATAGCTGCTTTCCATCAGCAGAGAGAATTATTGTGCTGGTGGGAAATCATATGCTTTCTTAATTGATTGGCTTGATTGATTGAAAAAAAATCATTTTATTTGCATTTGCATTTTCTAAAATAATTTCTTAGCATTTGGTGTCTATATATACATGTGTGTGAGAGACAGAGATATTCTCTAGCTATAAAAGAGCATGGTACAATCAAAATTGTATTAACTAGCACAGTATTAAACACTTTCTTCAAAAATATCCATCAATCATTGCTTTATCTGAGATCATATGCATTGAAAGCCTAACATATGACTTATTAAAATTATTTTTCTCTTTACCGTATATTCCCCTTTTAGCAGGCCTGATACAAACAGATTTACGTTCCAAAAAAGGAAACATTTTTCCAAAAAACTTTCTTTGAAATAAGGTCACAAGTGACCTTAGGTTTCACTGACAGTTTATTCATTATAAGCAGTTCTATACTTTGTCAAACCATCTTTAAATAGATAAACTGGGAAGATTATAGAGAGTTTAATTTATCTAGTGTACCATACCAAAACATTAAAATGTTGCGAAAGCATTCTTTAATAGATTTAAGTGATCTTAGATCTTTAATATATCTAAGTGACCAGGATACCTTGATAATTAATATTATCATGTTAGAAATATGAGTCAATTCCTATTGGATTACTCTGCCAATGCTGAAATATTTAGAACCAAAAGTGAGTTGACTGCCCAGCAATAAACTGTTGGATAACATATTGGCATCTAATTTTTCTCTAGAATTGTCTGTGTTTGTCTAAAACTTCAGCTTATTTATTTGCATATATATCACATTTATTTTACATGGTTTGTATCAACATTTGCCACTCCACTGCTGAAAAAAACTACTTCTTTCATGGAAGAAATTGGACATAAGAGAGAGAGAAGGATGGGACAGAATAGAACTATGTAATCTGCAGCTCCATTAGCTATTTTGATAGGATCATAGTCTGCTTGGATATCATGGCTTCATCCAGTGTGTTACCAAGGCACTGTTTTATATTTTCTGATTGCCCAGTTTTATAATTGTTTTAATACATCCTCTCCTCTCCTCTCCTCTCCTCTCCTTTCTTCTCCCCATCCCATCCCAACAGAGATCTTCTTGTGCATGTGAACATAATACTTGTGGAGAAAGCTGTGATCGGTGTTGCCCTGGATTTAATCAGAGACCGTGGCAAGCTGGGACTTTCCTTGTAAAGCATGAATGTGAAGGTAATAGAAATAATTCAATGGATGTGATTTACAACAAAGATCAAAACAAAAAGGCTTACCTGTATATATTAATTGTGATATAGTCGCATCTAGTTCTTCATGCCATTTAGATGAGAAACTGGAAAAAAGTATATGTCATTTTCTCTATGTTTTTCAAAATTTGGATTGCTAACAAAGAATTAAGGGAGTACTGGGATAGCTATTTCTAACCTTATTTGGTTTCATCAGCCAGACATACCCTTCTGAGATTCGAACCTGGGCTGTCTCGCTTTGTTAGCTACAAGAGACAGGGGAAGAGGATGAATGCTTTTTTTTATTTTTATTTTTTTTTGTGGATGGCTGATACGGAGGAAAGACCGAACGGGGGAACGGAGGTTAGAAAGGGCGAGGAGAGGAGGGCAGGACCAGGGAGCTGTGAGGGAGAGAATACCTTCACACCCCCAATGGTCCCCCACCAGAGGAAAGAGGGGGAGGAGGAAACCGACACCCATACGTGCATGGAGGAAAGATCCAACCGGAGAGCTGAGGCCAGAAAGGGAAAGG